ATTAAAATTATATGCAATTTGCCAAATTTTAAATATTTAACAATTTCTACTCATAATTAATATAAAGCCAACGCGAATAACATATATGGATTCTCCATCCTTAAAAAGTTCAAAACTTTTGTCAATCTAAACATGGCTCAAGTGATTAAACATTCGGGTCTCTTCAATATTCTCACAAATTAAAAAAATGTATTTTATCATCATCGGTAGTCACATTTCAAATAAAAATTTTCCACTTAACATAAGTCGAGACCCTACAACGACCCGAGTTGGGAGGATTTTCGCCATCCCTACTAAATCCCTGCTTAGGAAACAAAACTTTATTAGAGGTATTATACAATATGTACAAGGACGTGGTAGGATAAGGTACAATACAAGAGTAATAATCCAAGGCATTGAAAATGAAAGCGTAGGGAAACCGGTCCGGTCCGGTCGGGTCAGGCCCCACGGAGGGGGTAAGGTTGGGCCGGGTGGAATTTGACTTTAAAAGATAAGCAAATCGGACGGTGGAGATTAGCTCAGAACAGACGGTGATAGATCCTCCGAAAAAACCTCATTCCAACTCTCGAGGCCTTCCTTCTCTGTCGCTGCTCAGCTCAGCTCTGTACTGGCAGTGGCAGAATAAATTAAAAAAATCAAATTAATTAGAAATTTTTCCTTTAATTGTACTTTTTTCTTGTTACAATATTGTTTTGTTGAATTCGATAAAGAGATGTAATTATTACCATATAATCTGAATCTCTCAATTTAATAACTTTTTCATTACAAGGCAAAATATGTACCGATTCTTAGTTTCTGTTAATTAATTACTTAAACTACACATCTTTATAGTAAATACTTTTGAATTTTGTAAAAAAGAAGTCAAAATTTTATATTAATTTTAGGCAATTAATGTTTATTAAGATAAATAATTTTTTATTAAGATACATAATAATTTTTTTAATACATATTATAGGATTGAAACTCCAACATTTTCAGAAGAAGCAAGATGTCGAACTATATTTGTATTAGCTTGGATCAATCATAATTAAACTATACTTTTATTACTACTTTTATTACTAGTTTTATGAAACTGAATCTCTTCTTATATTCAGTGTTTTTAAGCAAAAGAAGAAAGTTTAATGATTAAATAATGGGGTGATTTCACAAGGATTCCTTAGGTTTAAGGGTAGGGGAGTGACTTTAGAAGGATTCCTTAAGTTAAGGTATAATTCTTCCATAAGGAAAAAAAATATATAGTTACTTCAATTGAGGGAGAAATTCGAACAAATGTTTAGTTAGAGGGACGACAGTTGGAGGTGGAGATGCACCTGAATGAAACGTACAATTGTGGGAGGACGAGGACTGCATGCTTGCTATGTATACGAGAGACGCATAACGATTTCTAGACGACATGCAGGCTGTAGGAAGGACAGACTAGTATGTCACAGTGCAACCACCATGCCTTTAGGAATGTCCTTGCCTATATGTCAGAATCTTGTACACCGATAAGCCCCTCGACACCACCTACGAAATGTCCTTCCTAGTCAGTCATGAACACCTTTAGAAAGGAAAGATTACGACCACCATAAAGTAAGCGAAAAATCTGTTACTAGTTTTCCAACGTGCTCTCTGCTATCTTTTACTCCGATTACTAACTTTAGAGTCGAAGCCTATTAGGCGGGACACCGTACCAGTGTCGAGGATTGTTGTTACAGGCTCATTTGTTTGACAACACTCCATCTGATAGGACACGTGGATCTCTTTGAACCTCCCCATCAACCATTCCAAAATTTTAAAAGAGAAATTTCATTTAATATATATTTTTCTAAATGTCAAATATATATATATATATATATATTTTTTTTCCAAATATAGCATAAGTGAGACTTTTCAATACATTGTTTCATTTTTGTGATTTTGAAAAGTCAAAATCTTAAGTTTTATAATAAATTTGTCTCTACATCATATAAAATAAATATGTATTTTAAAATATATTAGAGATTTTAAAATTTTACAAAATAGTATAATTCAAATCTGAGTCAAATTCAAACACACTATAAAAATACAATAAAAAAAATCACATTAACAATAGGTGAAAAAGATGAAATGTTGTAGCAATTTTTAGAATACATAGTTTATACTATTTAGTAAAATTTCTAAAAACATTATCTTAGTGATGCTTTTAGTTATTATTTAAAATGTGAAAACACCTTTTTATATATCTCTTTAAATTGTACTATTAATATAATTAAATTTAGTTTAAAAAATGTGGTACCCTTGTTAAATCACCTTATATATATTTCATTTTTAAATGAAAATGATGTAGTTTTAGACAGTGTTTCAAATTTCGAGCGACATGTCGACATGTATTTCATTTTTAAATGAAAATTATGTAGTTTTAGACCGTGTTTCAAATTTCGAACGACACGTTGACATGTCGACGTGTCGAGCACCTCGACATTGGTATGTGAGAGAATGTCGTTTTTTTTTACTTCTATAAATTGATTTTTCTTTAATAATTTGAAAAGATATGCTTACTAGTGGTGTCATGGATATTTCGGTTAAATAATTTGAAAATATATGTATAGTTTGTTTGGGTGAGATGACATAGGAATTGGTTTTTTTCCTAAATAATTTGAAATCAACTTAGCTTGTTTTTTTTTTCCCTTTTTTACAAAGTTTGTTTCCATCTCTTTTATGTCTTATAAAAAAAGCTCCTACCAAATAAGTAAATCTTACGAAAGATAATCAAATCTTTTCTAAAATAAATTAGGGAGGTTTGCCCATTCAAATTTGAATCAAGATTATTTGTTTATTTGAATTAAAAGAAAATATATGTTTTCGTATTAGTTAAATTATATCACTGCTATTTGGATATAATAAATTTAATTTTTCAAATTTTATACCTATTTCACATATATTGTTTAATTGTGTTACTAAAGATTAGATTTGATTAGAAATTATGATAAAACATAATCAATCAACAATAACTTTAATTTATTAATTCAAATAATTTACATGTAAGTATATACATGATTTTGTTTTGATGTTATCATCGCAACTACATTTTCATAAGTATATTATTGATATATTTAGATATGATAGTCAAAATTGAATAATTATAAGCTAATTAAGTTACAATTAAAGTTTTATTTACTAATTCAAAAAAAAAAATTGCATCAATATCCACAATTTCATGTTTTTCCTAAAATATTCATCGACATCGATATGTCTATCGACATGTTCGTAAAATTGGGACTTCAATATTTCTATCGACATCGACATTTTAAACATTGATTTTAGAACATTTTCTTCGGATATTATATAATAAAGAATAGGATCTTGAATCTATGACTTGAAGTTCAAACTTTCTTAAAAATGCTTCTTAAAATATTACCTCATAAATAGATGTGCAAACTTTCTTAAAAATGCTTCTTAAAATATTACCTCATAAATAGATGGTAGATGGATTTATCAAGAATATTTGTAACTAATGTTTTTACAAAGGAGATTGAAAAATGATATATTTGATAGGTTTAACTACTATTTTAATCCGTGTTAGCACAGTTCAATGGGTGAAAGCACCTATATTCTACGATAATGTCGTGAGTTTAAATAATCCCAATTGTACTCTATATATTTTTTGATCAATGTACTTTCAAAATGTCTATTTGATTTTTATATTTTTAACTTTTATTCATTTTAGTTCTTATATTTTCAAAAACATCCATTTTGTTCATTGTACTTTTAAAAATGAAATCCCTTCCTTTTTATTTTTATCTCATCTATTTCGATTAAATTTATTGCAAAAAACACATACATCAATTGCTGCTCACTTTGACACCCTATTATGTTTAGTCGCCAAAGAAACACATAGAAAATTAATTCTTAAATAATAGTGGTTCTCACTAATTTTTATAATCATCAGTCTAATTGATTAAAACATTTATGATAATCATTTATTAAAGTGTGTTTTACTCTTCACCATATTTTGCACTTATATTTTTCATTTATAATTATTTAAGGGTTTTGTTTTCACTTTTTAAATTTAAGGAAATAACTATTTAGAAATATTTCAACTCACCGCTATAAAAAGTTTGACAGTTTATTTATTTATTTTTTTCGAAAAAGAAAAAAGTGTCTCTCTCTCCCATCTACATTTCTCTCTCATAGTAAAAAATCTGATTGTAAGTTAGAGATAAAGTATTATTCTCTTCAAAATATAGCAAGAAGTTCTTTACAACATAATTATTTTTTTAATAAGGAAAAAATAGAGTAAATTACAGAATATATATATACCTCTAAACCTTGCCATTTATTATAAAAAAAATTAAAACATTTCTATCATTTCAAAAGTTTCATCCATTGACCTTTCATCAATGTTTTAAAAATGACTTTTAAGTAAACATCTATTAATATTTTAAATAAAAAGTTATAAATATGGGACGTGGAGTAAATTTTATTGACAATGGAGCATGAAAACTTTTTAGGGCAAATTAGGACATTAATTACCATATTAATTGTCATGTCGTTTTAGATTATGCCACGTCAACTTTTAATTTAAAATATTAACCAATGTTTACTTAAATGATATTTTTAAAACGTTTATGAACGGTAAAATGTAGTACTGAAACTTTTGAAAAAAATATAAGTATTTTTTAAACAAAAGGCAATATATAACTTAAACGACATATATGATAAAAAAAGTTAGGGATTTGAATCACCACCTCATGTTATTCCTTCGTACACCTCTGTTACTCTTTAGAGACATCTTCTCCCGATAAACTATCCACCTTAAATTACATTCTACATTTCACTTCAAACTTTTCGACTCTTTGGAAGATCCCACCATAAACGAGTACACTAACCAGAGAAGAACTACGGATATTCACCATACTATATTGGGTATGAGTGAAAATTTTCTATCTAATTTTAAAAAATTTAAGAAGTAACAAGAAAAAAAGAAAAAAAAAAGAG